ATCCCGTCTCATCTGGTTTACAATTACATTGTGCTCCTTGGTGTGGTTCTGATCATTTACAAATGGTCTAGGTTAGCCAAAAGTGTCTCTGTCTACTTCTATTCACCTGTTTGCTGATGATGCAGTTCTACATGCCACTATCTCAAATAAGGATGGTCGGTTAGTCCTCCAGAGTAAACTTACTCATGCTGAGAAGTATGCATTTCGATACTGAAAAATATAATTAAATAAGTTCATTCGGTTGGTAGAATAACAGATCTATCTGGGTTAGGAACGGATAATGAAGGTCCGGATTTCTGGCATACGGATTTTTGGACTTCTACTAACTGTACTAATATTAGAATATGCTTTGCCAGGCTGCTTCCCCTATATATATACGTTTCAGAACTGTTCTAAGTTAGATGCCATATAGCATACAGCTCAGAGATGGCTATCTAAAAATATCATGGCAGTTCCAGGGTTCTCCAAGAGCACTTATAGCCTGGCGGCCCGCCAGGCTATCGTCGAGCCCCGCCATCCTACAAATGCACCTGCCACTCTAAATAATCATAGCCGCCATGCTAAAATTAGCTAAAACATGCTAAAACTAGGACCGTAAAGGCAGCCCCGCCATGCTATAATGAAAAAGCTTGGAGAACCCTGAGTTCTGAGGTTGTTTTGAGATTTCCAGGAGTTTTCTACTGCTTACTATGGCTGAGAGGGTCTATGTCCCCCAGGGTACTGCCGGAACGTACCCTGGTACCAGAGCATATAAACCAACGTGATTTACCGTATATGATCGCGTAATAACCGCGGGCGCCTATAAGCCGCACCTCAATTTGAATCGGGTAACCAAGTAATGCGCCTAGTATGTTTCCTCTCACGGTATGGCGCACTTATAAACCGCAGAGCAAATACAGGGTTGAAATCTGAGGCCAAATTTGCGGTTATTACGCGAGTATATACGGTATATGCTCTGCTGGTACTATCTAATATGCCGGACCGTACCTCGCCTACTCCACTAACGAGTCTAGGGAGTCGCCTACGCCTACTCCCTAACCCTAGACCTAACGCTAACCCTAACCATATCAGATAGTTACCAGGGTACGTTCCGGCAGTACCCTGGGTGACATACACCCTATGAGCCTTACTATGTTGTTTTCCCACATTTCAGGGAATCTCTATTCCTCTGCTGTTACCAACTGTAGTTCAGAGGTTTGCTGTAAGGATGGCATCTGCATACACTGCAGGGTTTCACTCCATTGCCTATGTCACAGCACCTAGTGAAGAGGTTGCCAAAACAATAGCCAGGTATGGCAGACAGCTTAATTCTCATTTAAGGCAAGCAGAGCCCTGATCAAAGATACAATGCTACCATATAACATCTTAGTTTGTACCATGAACCTTGTGTTGTATACATAGATTTATGCATCTACTATCAACTAAAGCTGGTTTCACACTACCGACTTTGTGTTGGCGAATTGGCGAATTGGACCAACTTTCCAACTATACAACCGACAATCGGCAGTGTAAATGCGAAAGTTGCGCGACCAACCGATCGATAGGAACTAGTTGGGAGATTGGAACATGTTCTATTTTTGCCAACTTGGAGTTTGTAGAATTGCAAAATTGGTCCATCTTGCCAATTCGCCAACATAAAGTCGGTAGTGTAAACCCAGCTTCATACTGCTGCCAAAAATTGGATACAAAGACCTAGATATATGCATTTTTGCATTGGGCTGTCAGCAAAATTGGTATTGTCAAAGCAAGTCATATTGTGATTTTTCAGAGGCCTACTTGGGAAAAAGCTTGCAGCTTGCATCAACATTATTCCAAAGATTACGTCGCTGTAAGTGCAGAAATGTGTGAAACTGCATGGTGTGCTAAATTGTAGCATATAGTCAGGCGCGCAAATCCATTTTGAAATGTGGGGTGGACACCAGTAGCGAGCACGCGAAGGGGGGGTCTGGGAAAATTTTTGAAATTAGACCCCCTCAGATGCGTTTTCTGCGCGAGCAGAACCCCCCCCCCCCCCTGTCATTGTGATCCAAAATCGTGGGGAGGACATTTGATATGATGTCCCCCCTCTAAAAATTCGTGGGGGGAACATATGTCCCCATGTCCCCCCCTGGATTTGCGCCCCTCCATATAGTATCAACTGATCATGAGATATTGTCAGGAAAACCCATATTACACTAAATGCAACACAGAAATTCATTTACAATTGATTCCTAGTTCACTATATTATTAATTTTGCAGATATGAATGGAATGGAACAGTCAATGAAGATTCAGAAGTACTGATGGTATGTTTAAATTGACTACTTCACGAATTTTCTATGGTGTAGGTATATTTGTAAAAAAATTTGTTGACATTTTTTTATATTAAAAGTAAGTACTAACGGTACTAAATGTGTTGTCAAATTCTTACCTGATAAGATTGTTTTTCAACTAGTTAAAAATCCAAAAAACCTGGACGGTTTGATATTATGATCCTGACATTAATTGCTTGCTATGGGCTATGTATATGAGTCACGAGTGTATGTTTACATCGACCAATATAGTAAAATAGGAAGTATAATGCAGCAATTTAACCATAAAAAGCGAACAGAGTTACTTACATTTTGTGAAAAAGTGGAAATATTTTTTTACTTTTACAATCACTTTAATTTATTCTATAATAGCAGTTCCATGGTTACTGCTAATAGAGTATTGTAAGTTGGCAAGATAGTGAGGATACACATATGACAATAATATGAAAATGTTTATTGTTGTAGGTAATCAAAAGCAGAAGCTCCAGACTTGACGATCTTACAAAGTTTGTACGGCAAGTGAATTTTCCTTTATTCGTAATGTCGCATTTGACCACGAGTGAACAAAATTTTATCTACAGAGGTCGACACTTAAAAACTAATGCTAAAGAAAATGAAAGTGTCAATGACACGTACTATATAGCTCACATTGGGTGTGATAGAAGAGGGAATGATATTTAAAATTTTGGTAAGTATTTCATTTATGACGGACCAAAATGTGATCAAATGTCCTTATTCCCTGTTTTATACTAATAGAAATTTTACTGTTTTGTTTCAGGGTTAGTTTTGATGTAAAAATAAATGTTTCAGATCTGAAAGTCTGAAATCTGGGCGAGAGATGCAACAGAGATGGATCTTCTAAGTGGTCAAACTTCGGCGTGCAGCGATGTATAAGCCAGGCGAGGGCTTCGGCGCGTACAAGTCGGCCGAGATTCATCACTTTGCCGACGCGAGGTGAAGGTGGTGTTAATCGGATCGGTATCTTACCTGCGCCTAACCAATGGCGACGGTAGGGTTCATTGGCAGCCTTCTGATGGGAAAGGCCCGAAGTATCTCCGCTGAAACGCGTTACGATACCAAGACTCGAGTTGACGGCGCTACGCGTGTCCGCGAACATGGACGCCATGTTAGGGAGACGAGCTCTGCGACGAGCTGGCAGTGGCAAGAGTGTGTTCTGTGAGCGATAGTAATGACGGTATTAGGTATATCGCTAAATGAACACCCCAGATTCCGAACGTTTGTCGCGATCGCGTTGAAACCATTCATAACAGCATTCTGATCGCATCGCACGTGGAATATACGTATCGACCATCAGAACCCCGGACGAACGCTTCAGCAGAGGTTTGACAGCGGACGGCTACCTGTGATGTACCGATGGCTACAGGGCCGGACTCCTCTGGAGTTCTACGCAGGAGATCAACGCGTAGACACCGAGCTGTGGAGTCTGATCCGCTGAGTTGAAGGAAACTGTGGCGTTCGTTACGACCGCGTCTGACATGTCCGAGGAGGCTCGGACACAATGGATATAATAGATTAATGTTTAATTAAGATTTGGATAGTTGAGTTAGTTATGCATTGTTATTATAGTCTTGATGATTTTCTTATTTGTTTGATTTGCTGGTTCTTATGAAAGAGGGGGGGGTTGCCTTATACTTTTTCGTTTTGTTTAATAAGTTGATTATGTTTATTTTTTATGATTAGTGTTGTTTGACTTTGTTGATTATTATGTATTCAGCTGGGGGGGAGGGGGGCGGTGGCTGGGGTCGTGGTTGCGTTACCATTCAATCATGGTACAACCTGAAAGGCGCTCACGCTTGGTTGGCTTCGCGTAAAAATACGAATCGTTGCTGGCGCAAAGTTCGGAATAGGTAAGCGATAGTGAGGCTAAGGTCGAAGCTTAGGCGGGAGAGCCCGCTAACTGGACGAGATGGAGGGCGCGCGAACGAAGCTATGTGCTCGCCAAAGCTGCACAGAGGTTGGTGTAAGCGGCTGAGATGATAACGCTTACGAATGGCGGTTTAATCAGGTAAGGCAGACAATTCCATCCGTAGACTGGATCCAGTTCTCGGCGATTGGTTTGCTTCGCGTGGTGAGCGGTTTAGATTAGGGCGAATTTGCCTCAGGATATGAACACCCATATTAATTGTGCCAAAGAGCAACCCACCTCGCGACCGCTTAGTTATAAGGCAGATACATAGGGATGCTTAGGCATTGGGCAGGAATCACATGTTGTCGCAGTTACGCGAGGCGGTAATACTGGGTAATTCAGAGCGCCATCTGCCCTATTAGAAGAATGATCTCAACATGCCGTGCGTGTAGGAAACAGAGGTCTCCCGTCGGGGAAGCAGAAAATGAGCGATCTACCCGAGGACCGGATAGTACGATCACCACCATTCACGAATGTTCGGCGTAGACCTGCTTCGTCCGTAACGAAGTAAAACGAGTCGTTCAGTTGTAAGGCGCTACGCGTAGTGTTTACCCTGCCTCGCGATGCGCGCGGATTCCCATATTGAACGTTGGCGGCCTTCGATGGGTAGATACAGCCATCTTATATAATGCTTTTAAGGCGATTCGTGCTCGCAGGGCGTCAGGTGAAGGCGGATGAGAATCGCACATGGGTCAAACCTTTTGCGGGGCGAGCGCGAACGTGCGGGAGCTCGATAAACGGGTGGAATCTGGTTCAGATCCCATAGCGCGATGCTTCAGAAGAACATCGATGGGTTTTTAACTCGCCAGCAGGTTCTCACCATGTGCGGATCTGGGAGAGGCCGAGGATTAGATCAATTCGTGAAAATATGAGCTGCTTGTGCGCGAGCAATACGTTGGACGAGGAGAGGTCTCCACAGTTGTTGTAGCGAATGGTTGAGGCCACGATGTAATGGTAGGCCTTGACGATGAACTCGGATTAATCCAGGTGATTTGGAGGCGCTACGCCCAAACCACTTGCCTCCTGCTGAAGGGGAAGCGCGAGCTTGCCTCCAGGTATTGTTTCTCCACAAGGAAGATTCTATAGCTGAAGGAGATGGGAAGCAGGTCCAATATATGGCAGACATGTTTGGAAAGCGCTGGGTGCGGACGGTATTTGCCGTTGTTACAGGAGCGCCAGAATATGGTCGAGCTCAGAGGGAGAAACCTGAAGGTTGGAGATATGTGGTTGGTTGTAGACTCAGCGCGGTTGCGCGGAAATTTCATGGCCACTGCGGAAGGGTGATCGAGACCATGCCAGACAGGAAAAGGTTTCGGTGGGTCAGCGTTAAGGTCCAGACTCGGGAAAAGTATACTCACTCGTCCTACTGCGATAAGTTGTGTACGCTCCTAGAGATGGATTAGGCGTTAGAAGTTTGAAGATTGGCGCATTAGTTTGGTTTTTTGAATGCCAAGTATATGGGTTTTGGCAGTGTAGTCTGTTCGTGTCAATTTTCGATGTCACGTATGTTAGCCAGCGGATGTATAGTCACGATTTGTGACTGTTGAGTTTGTCGGTGTGTTTGGGTACGTTGGTCCGGAGCACGAGACCATGATATGTTTGTGACGATATAGATGATATAGATTGTGTGTGTGATGATATGTTTTCACGTCGATTTGAAATTATTGTTGTACCCCCTTAAAATTAATTATTCGGGCTCCAAGAGGAAAGAGGTAGGTCAATTATAGGAATATAATTGAGGGGCCGGTATGGTTGCGAGCGCAGAGCCTATGGCACTTTTTAGTATTTAGCTTTGATCCAGGTGCAGCACCTCGATGCCGTTATGTGGGATGTGGTTCTTAGGATATTGGTTCTGCGCGCCTGCGCTGTGGAGAGCGAGAAGTGCGACGTGCGGAAGGCCATGATGGTGTGTGGTTGATATTTGTGGACATAATTTCTAGAATGCTAGGCTCCACAATGTTTTGTGAGTACAAGTTTGGTCGTTTATTGAGTTAACATGTGATAGGTTAAAAGTAACCTAGAGGCAGCGCACTCTAATTAAGTAAATTTATGTAATTTGTGTGAAAGTAGCGTTTAATTTCCAAATGGAAATTTCACTGTTAGGGGGCCCCCACTGCGACTAAGCTCGGTCGAAGAGTGTGGTAAATAAGAATTGTTGTATCACCATGTTGGTGGCTTCCCTGGTTGTTTGTAGTAAGAGAGATAAAGTTTTGGTTTGTTTGTATTCATTCAATCGTGTTTAGTAGGATTAAACGCATATGGAAAAGGAGATTAGTTGTTCTGTATTGGCGAGGTCAACACCCCTACACTGACTAGCAAACCCGGCAGTCAATTCTTTCTAGAGCAGACAGTAAAAAAATCCAGTTTAACGAGCCTCCTCTGAGGTCGTCAAAAGGTTATCTTACACGTTACTCTTCGCATGTCAGCGAAGGTACATTTCATGGTCCTTCAATAAAGCCATCAAAAATGCTAGTCACGTGCTGAAAACAAAAAAGTTTTTTCAATCGCTCCGTCAGACCAGTGTCTCAGAAAATGTCTAAAATCTGCCCTGCTGCATTGCACCTATTGACCTGTGACCTCAATTTCTGGCCAGTGATTCCTTTTCCTACCATGATGCTTAAACACCGCTATGCACGAGCCTAGGTCGAGCCATTTAGATTATGTGCCACCAATTCTGCATTTCCTCCCTATACCTTTAAAACGTCATTGCGAGAATTTGCTCAAAAAACTAAATATTGGCTGAATACTAGTTCTCACCTGACACGAAGAATGTCAACTGAATTACACCAACATCTCAAAACACGCATATTTTATGGCAGTTATAGCCATAGAAAAATTGATTTGACCCACATTCATTACCAGCAATACATTTTTCGAGTCAAGACTTTCACAAATCACAAATGGCGTCTCAAACGAAGGCCGAACATAATTAAAACAAAGGGCATATATATGTGTGTGATAAGTATTCTCGCTGGCGGTTACGCAACGAGGATTTGATCCATTTTCTCTCCTCACGTCTTCGTTATTAGTCTAGAACTTTTGAAAGACTAATATTTTATGAGGTTACAACTTACACTCTGTGTTTGTGGGTTACCGCTACTATGCACCTCTTGTGTTTCATCTGACCAAAATATCTCCGGTGCGATTTTGGCATTACTGCCTACCCTTGTTGACGGTCTCCGCGGCTACCCCGAGAAAGTCGAGACATGACAGCGAAAATTCAACAGAAAACGGCAAAATTGTAATCGCTGCATGATTGTTGTCTTGCATGCGGTTCTAAGACATTTTATTGTTATTTCAAACATAATTACTGTTACTGCAAGCAACAACGGTAGCATCATGAGAGTGAGAATAAAACACTAAAAACGCTGAATAACACGCTCGCAATGATCGCTTTAAGTAAGGAGTAAATGTTCCCCCTTCTTTTAGCACTCTTGACTCTTTAGACCTTTGACCCCCCAGCTTTCGCACATCGCCAATCTCGTTTTGACGATCCCCCACGATGTCCGATATCGTGACCATTACGTCGAGCGCGTTAAGATTTGTGCCCAACTGTTGACGGGACGGACGGACGGAAGGACGGACGATC